AGCCGCGGCGCAGGGAGGCGGCGCCTGACGGGCCAGGCCGGGCCCCCTGCTCCGCCCAGCGCCGCGGCGATCAGCTCCCGAGCGCCCGGCCCCGGGCGGGGGGTTACAGGGTCCCCGCCCCCACGGGCAGCCGCCTCTGGGGAGGGGCACAAGCCCGTTTACACAGCGGGTAAAACACCCGCCTGGGCCAGGCAAGGGGCTGGGACCGGCCGCTGCAATGGGGATCCCACAGCAGCCCAGCACCGCCGAGGGCAAGAGCCAGCGCCGTGTACAACAGGGGTGATACACCGGCGCCCCTCAGCTCTGGCCCACAGGTGCCGTCTGTTAAGCTCAGGCCCCCACTGCAGGGCTTTATCTCGGTCCACCTGCCCTCCCCGGGCCAGTTCAGCTAGGGGGACCAGACAGCAAATGTGAAAAATCAGGACAGGGGGTGGGGGGTAGTAGGAGCCTATATAAGAAAAAGACCCAAAAATCGGGACATCTGGTCCCCCTAGGCCAGCATATGCTGGGAGCTGCACTCCCCACCAGCTCCAGCCGCACAGGAGCTAAGGTCTGCACTTCCCTCACCCCGCCATTACAGCAGGGAGGGCACATGGAAATTTGCAACCCCCCTTGGCCCCCAATCTAATGATTCGCAAACCACAAGTAAAACCTGTGTCCATGACAGCACACACGGCACCCCTTCCCCAGCTGAGAGCCCCATACTTTGAAGGTGGAACATTCCCAACCACCTCGACTCCATGAGCCTCCTTTGCTGATGGACTAAAAGTGCACTTCTCCCACGGCTTAACAGGGAACATACAGCTCAGATCTGAGCATAGTTTTGGAATATGTTTGAGTGACCATCAGTGCTCTAAGGAGCAAGTGTTAAATCTGTGGGATACACCCAACCGAGTTCCAGACTTTGCACGTTACTATATTCAATTTGTCGCACTTACGCTTGTGTTGACTTCAGAACAAAATGGGGCCCATCATTATTTATCCACAAGTAAACTCGCATATGTTTAAAATGCAACACTTGGACATTGAGGGGGAGCACACAGTAGCTTGATGTTCCCTAGAAAGCACCTATCCATGATAATCCAATATTTCCAGAGAGAAAGCTACTACCCACCCTTCTGAAAACTGATTAATAAGAATCCCCAGAGCCTTCTGGTCTCATCACCCAGCATCATATTCACATTTAAACATTTTGCAGGTCAAATTTCAAATCAGGACTTCAAGCAGTATTTTTGTATAGTCTCTTACACAACACAATACACATGCTCACTCGGATCACTCAATTCCCAACCTATCCCATGGTTTATAGAGAACTTACTACACGTGAAACCAAGCAGTGCCAATGTACAGTTCTTGAATGACCTGGACACTTCCCCACCTCAAATGCACTCAAACTGCTGAGAGAAGGCCACAGTAAAACATTTACAGATTTTT